ATTCCAGGTAGAAGAAAGAGCAGGTATCAGGGCTTGTGGCAAGACATAGAACAATCCCCAATGCCTGCAGGCAAGGAGTGAGGAGAGGACAGAGTGAGTGAGATTAGGCTGAGGAAATGGGCAGGCTCCAGATCCTGCTGGAGCCACAGGGCAAGGTGAGAATTTTGCTCTTTATTATCAGAGCAATAGGAAGTAAACAAGACCTTTAACCCACTAACTGCCCTGTGAGTTGTATTTAACTCAGGCTAGTTTTGAGCCCAGGCCCTCATGAAGCATATGTAACTCATGCCTCTCTTTACCTTGGGAGCCACAGGAACTATTTTTTAAGCTGCATATAACTCATGCACAGAAAACAATAAAAAAAAAATTTTCATTAAATTAGAAAGGATCATTTTGTTTTCAATGTTTTTATTCTATTTTCATAATAAAATACTGTGGTCCCAAGGAAGAGCAAAAATTTTTTTCTAGTGTGGCAGTCAATGTGTTAAACAGGTGATGTGTTTTCCTTTTACTTTAAGAAAAGATTGCTCTCTCTGTTGTGTAGTAAGATCTGGACCTTGGAATCCAAGATCACATCATCTGCTCCAGGGAATGGAGGTGTCACCACCAGAGAGAGCCCATGGAGGAGGTGGGAGAGAAGCTCTGACCTGCTGAGCTCATTCTGTGTCAGGCACAGAGCTGGGCATATTCCATATGGCAGAGGAGGAAGGTCAGCCTTGAAGTCTGATCTGGGGCCCTATAGACTCTGTCAAAAAATATATTTATTCCTCCAAGTTGGGAAGCAAAACCTCTGGAGATAAAGAAGTTCATGGTGTGTGCATAGCAATGGAGGATGTGTGGTTTCTGGGGAGTTTGGGTTGCAAGACTGACCTGCTTCTTTGGCTCTAAGCTGGTAAAATGCAGGTATTTCCTGCCTTTGTGTTCAGAAGAGCTAAGGACAGGTCAACAGGCACAAATGGCAGTGATTAGGATGCTTTCAAATTGTGAGGGATTTTTTTTGAAACAGGGAATGGCTTGGAAATTAGATTATCACTCTCTGGCTCAGTGCTGGGCAACCTGCAACAGCCTCATTGCTCCGTGGTAATTGTGGATAGTCCATTCTCTTCCTCTCCTCTCCTCACCTCATCCTTTCCTCTTGTCTTTTTTCCCATCATCCTATTTTTCTGTACACTTTCCCCATGTCTTGTTTTCTTTTATCCCTCTTAGGTGTAGTGCTCTATCTTTGGCCTAGTGGTATCTTCTCAATTGCTTAACTCTTCTTAGAATCCTCAGGACCAAACAAGGGGAAGAAAACTTACACTGATGTCTAAATATGTGACAGGTCAGGTCCTGTGTGTTGTATTTTATAGGCACCGGCGTCTCTAGTTCTCAGTCGCATGGGCTTTGTGGGATAGATACTAGTGTCCTCCACGTATTTATCAGAAAACCTTAGATAGATATTACTTAAACCTTCTATGCCTTAGTTTCCTCCTCTGCAAAGTGGGAATAACAACCTACAAAATTGTCATGAGGATGAATTGTGATAAAGTATATAAAAATATTAGCATAATTCTTGGTGCAGGGTAATTTCTCAATCAATGTTAGCTACTACAGCAATAGTTATAATTAACTTATTTAATTGACAGACTAGGAAACTAAGGCATAAGGAGTTGAAGTAGCTTGTTCAAGGTAACACAGGTAGTGAGTGGACTTTTGAGACATTCAGACCTGAGTCTGGATTCTGGATCTGCAACTTACGTTCCTCGATATCATGTACCTAAAGCTACAATCTCCATGAAGTGTAGTTCCTCACTGCAGCATTCCTACCTAGAGTTGATAGGAACTACCAAAAGGTGAGCAATTTGCTCAACTGACTTTCTCCCCCTGCTGCTTCTGATGGGGGCACACAGGGTTGATTCTCTTTTTCCCAAGTGTTTTGTAAATCTCCAAACAAGACAGTGAGGCACTGCTGGATGAGAACTCACAAAATAAGGACAACTGAAAAAACAAATCAAAACAAAATAGCAGCAGTAACAACAACAAAATGCTTTAGGAATTGGGAGTTTGGGAATTTTTCTCTTTACCTGGAAAGGATATCTTGATTGGAAGAGAGGGCTGTGCTAGTGTCACCATGATCCAAATATACATATTTTCAGAGAATATATATTTATCCTTATTTATTTTTATAAATATATTTGCATATATACATTTATGACAATTGTTAAGATTATTTTGCATTACTGAGGACAGGAAAAGTCCTCATGCCCAAAGGACGACTTAGATTATTGCCGCTGTGCCATTGTGCTGATCTACCTGCCCTAAGCACTTTTGAATGCAAAGGAGGAAGATACCTACATTCTACCAGCTGAAAGCCAAGAGAAGCAGGTCGCCCGGCAACCCAACCCCCCAGAAACCATACATCGTCCATTACTATGCACACACCATGAGATTATTACATAGACTTGGTTCATGACAGATTGATAGAACTAATATTACTAAGAACATTAGAACAACATTGATTTACTTACGACCATCCATAGTTCTGGCCTCGAGATGCACGAGGTCTGGTTCCTTGTTGGACCCCATGACGGACCTGAGAAATGGAGAAACATGAAAAGAAACATCCGCATTAATGACTGCACATGTGCCTTAGAGGAACTCAGCAGAGCCCACAGACTTAATATCCACAGGCTTCTAAAACCACAACCCTTAGAATATATCTACTCTATTTACTCCCATAGCCTGACAGTAAAATATCCACTTCAAACAAAAATGATAATGAAAACTTTATTTGATGAAGGCCAGGCTGAACTCTGGCAAGGATATTGCACGTTATTAGCTCGGATTGGCAAATAGATCCTACACGTGGTACACACGTACTCTCGCAACAACCCCACCGACAATGTATTAAGCTTTTGAAACTTATCAGGCAGATACCAGGCATGCTCCTTTAGCTGGGTGATTTAAACAGTGATTTACATAGCAAAATGATCTAATTAATTTTTTCATTTGAAATTTGCAGAACCTACTACTGCCCTATGAACTATGAACGAAGCTCATGACTTATCCAACGCAGTGACATCTACAGCACACAGTGACCGTTTGCGGTATTATTGAACCAGGGTGAGAAGAAAAATGCAGGCGCATCTCACTTTCTGATACGTGCCCGAAACCGTATGTGTAAGTAAAATACAAGCCTATTTAAAATGCCTTGGAGGCACTTGTTACTTGTGTAATCTTGCAGTGAGCTGTATTAAATAGAAAATAATTATTATTCTGTTACATAAATGAAATGGGCAATCACACTTTATCTCTAGGATTTTTATACAGCAAGATTAATTAAACTTGGGACCATCTGTACTTTTTTTTTCCTAAATCAGATTTGCAGAACTTTAATTTGTTCCATATCAACATGGAAAATACTTAAATGCCTCCAAACTGGTCTTTCTGTCTGCCACCATGCACTCAGCCCAGACGATCAATACATCCTAGAAAATGCAGATGTTAAATATATTCATCCCTTCAGGACGTAGTGTGGTCCCCAAGTCCCTACACAGATAAGCACCATCTCACTTTTACTGCCTCATCTTCTCCCACTCTGAGTTTGCCATTCCCTGAAAGCTTCTGTCTTTAGCTTGAAATTGAGGAGCTCATTTTATACATTTTATATACACATTCCTGGCATATAGTAGATAGTCAAATGTGGAATGAAAGAAGGAAGGAAGAAAGGGAGGGGGGAGAGAGAGAAGGAAAGAAAAAGGGGGAGCAGGAGGGTGTAAAGGTCTGTGAATTCTTTGAAATATAGTAAATTAATGATTGTCCCAGGGGCATTCCCAGAACTCTTCTTACTTGAACTCATTTTTACAACTCAAAGAGTCTGAGGCCTAGCTAGCTTATTCACTCTTCATCTTTAGAAAGGAAGTTTCCTTAAGGCCCTGTTATTGCCGTCAGTAAGTTTTCTCTGATTGATACATGGCCTGAAATTCAGAGTCTACTCTCGAAACATTAAATCCTGCTTTCTCCTCCCAGGAAGCAGATATTTCCTAATCAGGGTTTTATAATTTCCCTCAAATAGACATGAAACATGCATTTGGACATTTCACATCATTGGAACCTACTTGAATACAGACAGAAGGTGACCCTTTCATCATCAGTCCAGTGATGATGGTGACTAACAGGCTATGTATGGGTGGTGGCTCTCCATCTTCCCACACTCGAGTGTTGACTGAATCCACAGGCGACCCCTTCTGACAAGACCATGAGTCATGAGCATTAAAAAAGAAAATGAGCTGTCTGATAAGCCTCAAACTAGAAAGGTCCACAGTCAAATGTTTTTTCAAAATATTAAAGGGTAGTTACATGTTGTTCATCTGCCCACATTGCATACTGCTCTGAGTTTCCTCCTTGAAAGAAAGGTCCGCCACCATTTATTCCCAGGAGAAGGCCCCATCCCAGAAACAGAATGTGAAAAACTAGCACGCAAAATCTATCTGCTTGGCTTATAGTTAGTGTTAACAGGAGACAAAATAACTACCCTGCATCCAGCACATCTCTCCATGTGCTCAGGGCCCTAAA